TCACAACCACGTTTAAGTTCTTGTGTGTCCTCCTAGACCGATTCTAAGCATAACACATAGGCATATTTTTATTCTTTTCCTTATTGAAAATACTCCATACATACTGTTTGTTGTAAGTTAAGACAAAAAAACGCAACAGAGTGTCCCTTTTCAGTCATTCCTTCCTAGGGTGTACGGAGGGTATGTGAAGTCTAGTTTTAGAAGAAATTTGATTTAAGATGGCTGTGGAACATCAAGTTAGAGATACCTGGTAAAAGTGAAAAGCTACTGCTATGTCACTGGCCCACAGGGGGTTGATGGAACCATTAGAGCAGGTAAGATGATCCGGGGGAATGTGGTTCCGAAAGAGAAGCAAGAACAAAAGGAATGTGTTCTTGAGGGGGAAAGAGAAAAAGGAGTGGCCCATGAAAGAAATACAAGAGTGATGTCTTGAATTTCTTCTCTGAATTATTAAAGTTATGGTCAATCTCATTTATAAACACTAAATTCCGTCACCTCCTGTCATTTAATTTTGCAAGAGAGACCAATTTAGAGTGAGACCAAAGAAGAATCTTAAGATGTGGCCACAAGATCATAGGGCAAGGTAAAGAAAGTGGGAACTGAAATTGGGAGCAGTCACTTTGATAAAATAATTCAGATAAAAAAAAAATCAAGTTACGACAAAATCCATAGAGGAAAAGAATGACAGATTTCATCGGATAAAAAAAATTTCCTGCCTGATAAATGTCTATAAATAAAGTTTAAACACAAGGCATCAGACTAGGAGAAAATATTTATGACATATTTAATAATCAAAAAGGTTAATGGTAATATTTAATATAAAGAGCTCCAATGCCTTAGCTATCACTGTTTGAGCATTTATTATGTACCAGGTGATATTCTTGGAGTTTTGCATGGATTAGCTCATGTAATCTTTGCCTGACCTTAGGAAATAGGCATCGAATAAGGACACAAAAGCTTAGATAACTTAGGTAATGAATAAACAGAAAAATATAATTTTAAACGGGTTTAACTGCCTCATCGGCCCCCAGATTGGGAAAACTATCTGTAGTCAGTGTTGCTGAGAAACAAACTCAGACTCTTGGTGAGGATAGGAAGTGTTAGAGCCTTCGTGGATGGCCACTTGGCCACCTCCAGTGATCTCTGCTCACGCACGCAGGGTCTGACTCGCACGCACCAGAGATCTCATCCATACAAAGTTTTGCTTCTAATTTCAAGGACAGAAGCCGTCATGGCGCCGGTGAAAGAGGGAGTCTGCATCACCCTGTGTGCCTCCGGGTTCTTTCATCCCAACACTGGACGCTGTCTTTGGCCCAGGGGAATAGGTAGGGTGTCACGTGAGGTCTGTGGACAGCTAACACGGAGGGAGGCTGTAGGTGAGGAAGTGCTGCCATTTTATACCCTATGTGGTCATATAGCATGTGTTCCTTTTATCAGGAGTCGGGCCTCACAGATCCACAAATTCTGTTTATTTACCACAAACTATCCTTAACCAGCCACATGCTTCTAAGAGCATTCCACAGATAAGAGACGAATGGATAAAGAAGATGTGGTCCGTATATACAATGGACTATTACTCAGCCATCAGAAAGGATGAATACCCAACTTTTCCATCAACATGGATGGGCCTGGAGGAGATTATGCTAAGGGAAATAAGTCAAGCAGAGATAGACAATTATCATATGGTTTCACTTATTTGTGTAACATAAGGAATAGCATGAAGGACATTAGGAGAAGGAAGGGAAAAATGAAGGGGGGGAAATCGGAGGGGGAGACGAACCATGAGAGACTATGGACTCTGGGAAACAAACTGAGGGTTCTAGAGGGGAGGGGGGGGGATGGGTTAGCCTGTGATGGGTATTAAGGAGGGCACGTACTGCATGGAGCACTGGGGGTTATATGAAAACAATGAACCGTGGAACACTACATCAAAAACTAATGATGTAATGTATGGTGACTAACATAACATAATAAAATAAAATTAAAAAATAAAAATACAGATTCATGGGGAAAAGAAAAAAAGATCTAGCAAATATCATTAGTCTGTTAACCAAGAGGTCCTGCTTTCACCAGGTTTACAAGCATTTAGATGTGTCACCTGACTTCTTTCCCTGGAACCAAGAGCCAGCTGCTTTAACTCCTTCCTTCCCACTCCCCTCAGATGAACTTGCAGGTGAGGAAAGAGACACATAAAAGGATGACCATTACGATAGTGTTTTAAAGGGAAAATGAAATAACCCTAAAATCCAACAGGGACGGAAATGAGAAAGAATCGACAAGCCCACTAATAGGAAATTATGGTAATAATTTCTATAAAACACCATGCAGTGTTCAAGAAAAGCAATACACACACACACACACACACATATTTGGACCAATTTTCCAGAACAACTTCTGGGGAGAAAGGATCTGCCGTGCAACATGACATAAAATAACATGTATGCGTGTAAATACCTAGATGAAGGTGTGGAAGGAACCACACCAAATTTTATATGGGAAAGGACAGTGGGCAGAGGCTGGGAGCAGTGTTGGGTAGAGGAATACTTTGACTTTTGACTCTTTCTAGAACATTTGATATGTTTAGGATGAGAATATTTTCATATTGCTCATGCACATGGACCTATGAACACTTCAAAAATTAAAATCAGAACATGGAGTGAGCGGAAGGCTGAGTAGAGACTACAGGCTATTGGGTTGGGAAGGGGGCAGCACCCATGTGACAACAGTATGGTGGGGCAACGTGGAGGAACGGGTGGTTTGGATGAGGAACTGAGTATGTTAGTCCCCCAAGGGGAAGAGCAGAGGGAAGGGAGGATCTGAGGATAGTGGTAAATGGGAGTGGAAGAGATGAGGGAGGATGCATTTGTGGAGCACAATGAAGGGTGAGTCCAGACCCCTCCCAGGAGTCAGCATTTGTGAAGGGAATGTGAGTCAGCATTGAAGAAATGGGGCATCCAAACTGGGCAGTCATGCAGGACTAGGTGCCCAGGAGTGATACGCAGGCCTTCCTCCTTGTTCAGGATGTGTGCTGCCGGGTGGCAACCATGAGCAACAATTGCATGGGGGGTCCCAATAGGGAGCCAGAGCATGGCCAACCGCCGCAGACACGGAGAGCCTGCAAAGGCATCTGGGGCAGTAATCTAGGAGGGTTCATACCCTAAAGAGTCTAACCCCGAAGAAACTATATACGCCCCTCTCATGTTCAAGTTGATACCTGACATTTTTCATTAGAACTTTAAAAAGTGGCAGAGGATGTAATTTCCATCATATTGGAAATACTAGCATTTCAGATTAAAATTTTTACATTTTTTAAAAGATTATTTAAGACAGAGAGTTGAGTGGAGGGACGGGCAGAGGGAGAAGCAGACTCCCTGCCGAGCAGGGAGCCCGACACGGGGCTCGACCCCAGGGCCCTGGGATCATGACCTGAGCCCAAGGCAGACGCTTAACGACTGAGCCACCCAGGCGCCCCTTTACATTATTTTTAAAATCAAATCCAACAGAATCTAAATGCAAGTGCGATTTTATCCTCTCCTTCACTCAATTTAAACATTCACGAAAAGGATTTTTTTGGAAATTTTATAGCATTCTTTTCACTTCGGTTCTCTCGGATAGTTTTATACTAATGTAATTTATATTTTGTGCCTGAGCAAAATGTGTATATAAAATGAAATGGAATTTTTAAAATGTTCTGTGACCATAAGATTTTAAATGTTAAAAGATTATTTTGAACTGAATTATCATTACATTATTAGTTCACAAATGATCAAAACTACAGAAGACATTTAAAAAATTTTAAGCATAACGAGTAAAACTTTATAGGAAATATGTTTCTTCATGACACAGATAGACTTTTTATCAACTGGCCTATGTATCTATGGATAAATATCATTTATTTTTAGAATGAGACGTGGTTCAGCATCGATCCTATTTTTTTTCATTTTTACAGAAAACCTATCTAGATGAAAACGAAAGCTTTGCTATTGCAAAATCACTCAATTCTCTGGACTTTCAAGTGATTTACCAAGAATTATTTTTAATGATAAACTCAATTATTTTTAGCTGATACAGTAGGCAAGATATGTACTCTGCTACCATAAAAAATGGAAAATAACAACAAAACCACAGTGGATCAAACAGGATAGAAGTTTCTCTTTCATATGAGAGTCTAGTAAAGGGGTCAATCTGGGCAGAGAGGTGAACTTGCAGGGCGTCCAGGGACCAAGGACCTTACCCCTAGGATAGCCTAGGAGGTGGCCTTGCCCTCATAGTCAAAGCTAGCTCCCTGGCATCACATCCAGAGTCAGCTTTCAGGAAGGGAGAGAGAGAGGGGAGCTCATCACTGGTCATTTTAAGATCAAGACACAGAACTTGCACACATCACTTCTCACTTCCCACCTGCAAGAACTTAATCACATAGCCATACCTTGTGGCTAGGAAAGGTCGTCTTTGTTGAGTGTCCCTCAAACCCTGCTGAGATGCATGAGCCAAGGGGCATTCGGAGCCGCCAGCAAACCCTAACCACTGCTTCTAACTCCTTCACTTTTGTTGAAAGCGAAGATATAAAGCTACCCATCTTTTTTTTTTTTTTTTTTAAGATTTTATTTGAGAGAGAGAATGAGAGATAGAGAGCACAAGAGGGAAGAGGGTCAGAGGGAGAAGCAGACTCCCCGTTGAGCGGGGAGCCCGATGTGGGACTCAATCCCGAGACTCCAGGATCATGACCTGAGCCGAAGGCAGTCGCTTAGCCAACTGAGCCACCCAGGCGCCCTATAAAGCTACCCATCTTGCAAAGGATGTGTTATTCTGCCTTGAGAGTCCAGGAAATCACTATTTGAATTGTCATTTTCTTTTGGTATTGGGAGGTTTTTATACCCCAGGAAAGTGACTGTAGGGAGAAACAGGAAGTGTGTTTTTCCTTTGCAAAAAGTGAGAAAGGCAATTGCTCACGGCATTCGGTCCAGAATATATCACATAAAAAGGGAGCACAGAAAACTCACCATCATGCTGTTCCTTGGGTCCCAAGTTCTCTAGATGGGCCTTCTTTTTCTTTCCACCTCTCAGAGTCTTCTGATGTTTGTTTCATATAATGCCCAGGGCTTTGGCTGCACATAGAGGAAAGAATAGGGAGAAATACATCTACTCCATCTTGGTGCCACTGATTGAGTTTTAACAGTCTGTAATTTCCAGAGTTCTCAAGCACATCTTGTGGGGTTTAATTATGTTAATTTAAATGATCCTCTCTATTATGGAATTTTTTTCTTTAATCAATTCTATCAAGAAGTGTCCCAAAGCTGATGAGTTCTTTTTAATTACTTAGGCAATTTTGGTAGATTCTAGTGAGGTTGAATATTTTTCCATCTTTTTTCAAACTACATGTGTTTATTGGTCCTATTCATTTGTGAATTTTTTTTTAAGATTTTATTTATTTTTTTATTTATTTGAGAGAGAGAGAAAAAACACGAGGAATGGGGAGGGGCAGAGAGAGAAGCAGACTCAGGGAGCCTGATGCAAGGCTTGATCCCAGGACACTGGGATCATGACCTGAGCCTAAGGCAGACACTTAACTGACTGAGCCATGCAGGTGTCCCTCATTTGTGAATTTCATGTTGTGTCTTTTGTTTATTTTTCAGTTGTCCTTATTAACTGATTTATAAGGTTCTATGTTAGGGATATTAATGCTTGGTTATATGTAGTTGGATCTGTAATCCACTCCTTTATTAGTTGTGCATTCTTCAGCTACAAATTGGAGATCCTAGTACCTACCACCAAATCTGTTGGGCACATTAAATAAGACAGTCAATGTTAAGGTCTCAGGCCAGTAAAAATGCAAAGAGTAAATTCCTAGTAAATGACAGTGATTGTTCATCGTGGAATTAGCTGCCCAAGAAAATCTGGACAGAGGCAGATATAAATCTGGTTGGGCTGTCTTCCCAACACCAAGCTTTCTACTCTATCTGAAGTTAGAGATTACTGGGAATTTGAAAGTGGCTAGAAATTCACTTGGCAAAGAATAACACTTCATGGTATTTATCAATAACTGTAATACTACAACTTTAGAATTGCCTACATGCAATATAATGCTTTTGTGTATGTTTTCAAGACGTCCTTGAGAAGTTAAAACAACTTTTACTTCTATAGGAGGATGTGTAAAAAAGACTTAATTTTTTTTTCTTCCAAAAGTTAATTTTTTGCATGGGTGAAGTAATTTTTAAAAATAACAGTTACTTCACAAGATTCTGAGGTTTGGGGGTAGTATAGGAGATTTAACAAAACGTGAGACTCCAGGCTGGAAAAAGGAAGACTAGGAGGGGGTAGAAAATTTATTATATGGGCATTCTGTAGATGCTCCATATTCCCTGTGGTTTTGCTCATAACATTTAGAAATGTTATGTGCCCCTTGAGACTGATACACAAGGTCCAGTTTGCTTTACTCCATTTCCCACAGTGCATTTGAAATAAGCATTATAGGGAGAGCATTTTCCCTCCTTCTGGTTTCAGACTGTAGTGGAAGATATGTAATGAAATCTTAGAATATGAAACCCCAAACAGTGTCGTCTAAATCAAAGCAAATATAAAAAGTCGATGAGAAAGAAGGGCAAAGAGCTTTAACTGTACCAAACAAAAACTTGTAGAAATGCAGGAAATCTTATATAAGAACTCTGCTGAGAATAAAAACCAAAGGAAAAATACAAGTTGATCCAATCATTCATCCACTTTTTGGTTACTCCATTGAGGAAGGAACAGCATAATGAAAGAGTCCACATTGGCTCGGAACACCAAACGAGGAATGTAAAGAAAGACTTGGGTGTGAGCTCCTTTTCTATGGCTGAATTCTGTGCTTAACTTTTTTCAAACTACTCTGTTGCTCTGAAACTCTGGCTTCCTGATTTGTAAAATGGAAAAAAAGCTCTGGAGGTTTTGTGATGTGAAAAATCCTTTGTGTTGCTTCTTGACCTGGGGCACGCAGCTGTGAGCCCCTTAAAGGAAAGAAGGAGGTATTGCTCATTAAGTGAGGAGAGAATCACACACATCATGGCATGTGATACACACAGTGGTGCTTAATAAATGTTTACCAAATGAAGGTGCAGTAAACCAATTACAATCTATCACTAATTTGAATGCGGTCTTGGATAAATCACATTTTATAGGCTTTGTATAGGCTGCTTAGGGAATTAGCAGGTAACACCAGACCTCTAGGGGTCTTTATACAGAATTCTAGTGTGGCAAGTTTCAAAAAATGTGTTTAGCAGTGGCTCACGTCCTCCCTTCCTTCTTTTTCTTCTTTTCTTCCTCCCTTCCTTCTGTGCATTATGTAGGAATTAAGAAAAAGGGACTGAACTCTGCATCCAGGTCAACTAGGAGAACAGTAAACAGAATTCACGTGTGAAGAAAGGAAAATTGAGAGTCCAGCAAGAACAGGAAATTAGGCCACGGGTGCCCAGAAAATGGAAGCCCTTGGAAATATGCAGAAATCTTGAGAGCATTGGAGTCACCAGAGACACGTGAATGAAGGCAAATTTATCTCAGTTTTACATGACCTGCAAACTATTGCTGACCACTGAGCTTCCATGCCATCATTACCACTCTCAGAGTCTTGAGTTCAACGTGAGTGATTCTTAGAATATCAACACAAATCAGGAGCGAGAGGGCACGGGGAGAAATTGAAGAGAAAACAACTTCCATGGGGCGTGTGGGGGAAGGCTCAGAAGAAGAGAGAGAGAGAGGGAGAGAGAATTTTCTTCCACTTAATCACAAACTGGCTTTTTAGAATTAGGGTTTTTTTTCCTGCCGCCTCTCTTTTTCGCCCTCAAACTCACTCTAGCACTGTCAAATCCCACAACCCCTGCAAATGAGGGTCAATCTGGACGTGAGGAGTTTGGGGGGGTATATTTGTAATATGCTGGAGCCAATTCTTATTGGAAATTGCATGTACTTGTTCCCAAGTCCATGTTCAATGATGTCCAACTGGTAGCTTGAAATCCAGCATGGTGGGGGTATTCATACCAGGGGAATGGAAATTTAGTGTTCACTAAAAATAAAAAATCAGGTCCCCAGTCCCCTCCCATAATGTACCAACACACCACTGGACTTACCTCTACGCTTGATGGGCAGTCATTTAAGGTTGCTGTGCCTTCCTTCGAAATTCATTTCGTTGTTACCACGGGGAAAGGAAAACCGGGAGCCAGGATCAGGCCAGAAAGGAGTTTTGTTGTTTTTTTTTTTTTTAGCTGGGAGGTTGCCATTCCAGAGGCAGGGAAGTGGTTTGAATAGAATACCAAGCCTGCTGCCATGGAAGATATTCAATAAAGAACCTATGGACCTAATGGAAATGACCATCTGAGCCATAATGTTGACTTCCTGGATATTCCTGGAAAGCCTTAAGTAGGATCACTGATTTGTCCCGGTTTACCTGGGACTTCCCTTGTAGCATTACACATCCTGGGGAATCCTGGTCCTGGGCAAAACTGGGTCGTTGGTTATCCTACTTAAAATAATTCTCTGACTCAACCTCCCTGGGGAAAGACTTGATAGCTGTTTCTTCATTCACTTTAACAAACTCTTACTGAACAGCTGGTAGACGTGGGCCCTGGGCTAGCGATGTGCGATTGACTACGACAGGGTCTTAGCTCTGCAAGGACGCACCCAATCCTCTACCTTCGCCTCAGGTAGTTAAAGACAGACGTCTGTGTTTCAGAATTGAAATTTCTTTTCTCTTCAGAGTCACATGTAGAAGAAGGAATGAGAGAATCATCTGGATACCGAAACATGCTTCATCCAATTGTGGGGGAATTGCGCTTTCTTTACCTTGTATCTCCAGCTATGGTTCCTCAACATAGAAAAGTTATGGAGGACGAGTCACTGTGGCCACCGTCTCCCTCCCGAGAGCCCTCACGCTATACTGTTGCCCAGTGCCTTTTGAAATAAAACCTGATGGGTTTTCACAGCCTAGGAGTCCATTTGCAAAAGAAAGCTGATGACAGATTCCTGGCAGGTGGTGCTTATTATGGCTGAGAATCAATGTCTCTGTCCCGAATGGAGGGGACAGTATCACAGTTATTCTCTTCTGGGCTTTCCTGCCTCGTAGCTCTGAGCTTCTTTATGAGACGGTGCCAATTTGGAGGCAGAGAAGTGTTAGCAGCCACCACGTCTGCGTTCTAAAATACTGAACAGTGCCTGACCGCTGGCTGGAGGTTCCTGAAGGCCAGATGTTGGGCTTCTTCATGCCTGCTTCTGGCTCCAGCTCAGGATCTGGCTGAAAGAGGTCTCATGGTAGTTGTTTAGCTAATAGATTTGGATGAGAAAGTGGAAAAAAAAAAAAAAAGAATTCAGATCATCTTACTAAGTGTAAAGTGTGATCTGAAAAGTACAAGACACAAACATTTTAGTTACAGTATGGAACCGTTGCAGGCTGGAGAAATTGTAGGGAATATATGGTGAATCCTGTTGGATTTGTCTTCTGCTCTGACTTCACTAGGTTTCCGTACAAGTTACTTCAGATGCAAAGATTATGGGGCACCTGGGTGGTTCAGTTGGTTAAGTGTCTGCCCCCGGCTCAGGTCATGATCTCAGGGTGGACTTCCTGCTCAGCAGGGTGTCTGCTTCTCCCTCTCCCTCTGCTTCTCCCCCACCTTCTACCGCTCGTGCTCTCTCTCTTAAATAAAATCTTAAAAGAAAACGATGCAAAGATTACCGTCCTCTTGTTTAACCAGAAGACAAGCAGGCACACACAAACTCCTGTGCAGAAATGTGGAGTATGAAGCTGCACATGTTTAGCTCCCCGGAGCTACTGTGCATCCTGCTTCTTTTGGGTGGGACTTAATTTCTGCGGGTGAAAGGTCGGTTCTCAGCTTCAGTTCTCAAATTCAACACCTCTGTGGAATCCTATTACCATTCCCCCCTTCCCTGAATCCGGCAGATTTTGTTACGAAAGCTGAAGAGCTAGAAGTAAACACTCACCTGGGGACAAGGTGATTCCCTCGCCAAGTCTGTTCCAGGCTTGGTGTGACTCTCAAAAGCACCTCGAGAAGGCCCTCCTATTATTTCCACTTACAGGTGAAGAAGCTGAGTCTCAAGGAGCTTAAGTGGTTTGCTGAAGATCACGTAGCTAGCAAGTGATAGAATATAGGTGTTTCAGTTCCCCAATCAGTGGTCATTCTACTGATTTTCTCCCACTTTCCACATGGGGACTGATAAAGTATATTTTCCAAAGAAGTAAAACCATGACTTTCTCATGACTATAAAATAAGAATGTGTCAAAGGTTTTCTGTAACTCACTAATTAATGAGGGAACTGGTACCATACAAAAACCAGTTTAAAGAGCACTCAGGGAGTAAGGTATTTAGACCCAGTGTTTGGGTAAGGTTGCTGGGTTAGATACAAAACTGGTTAATGTCCAACAGGGCAATAAACTATAACCCTTGGGGTTATCTGTTCTACTAAACATAAATTATTTACACCTCCACTAGACAAAAATCTGCAAATTAACCTCTGCCCCGAGAGATTAGTGAAATGGCTCATTCAGTAGGAAGTCAAGCCCAGCATGGCACACCGCACAGGCACCCTGTAATCTTTTCTGTCTATTTCCAAGTCTCAGATAATTTCAGATGGTTTCTGAGACACGACTTTTGGTTGAAATTGACACACACATAAGGAGAAAGCTAAGGGACTGATAGCATTCTCTTTACACACTATACAGTTTCCTTTCCTATACCGTATGTGATAAATTGTTATTGTTGACAAGGAATACACATGCCAGTTCAAAACCTTCAGGAAATCTGTCATCCGCTTTTTTTATGTAAAGATAAAGCTGTGAAAAGCTTTCACATTTGGTGAGAAAAATGCCTTGTGAAACACTATGTGATTACTACTCCAAAAGTCTTGTGTTCTCATAGTGACTCACTGAATTTCTACTTAATTGAAATTTTAAGGACAAAAAGCAGTTCTCTTTCTATATTAGACAAATAGTAGTTACCTGAATAGTTTTTTTCTGCAACAGTGGAAAGAGAGAACAGAGTTGGACTCACTGTTGCTAATTTGGCAACTTATTTAACCTTAGTTTCATTTTCTATAAACTGGTAATAATACTGAACTAAATGCATTCTTCAGTTTAAAAGCATTTTTAAGAGTCTTCTAATCTGTGCTGTAAGTAGCAAAATATTTAACCAAAATATAAATGGACCAATATCATGCTATTTTCTGGTAAGATCTCTTGGGGAATGTAATTTGCTTTGGCCCACTAGTCACGACGGATGAAGGTCCATCCATTTTAACTGCCCCATAAAGTTAGAGGTTAACTTATAGAAAGCTGATAAGGTGTGTGTGTGTGTGTGTGTGTGTGTGTGTGTGTTGACTTGATAGAGGACAACCTCAAATATTATGGTATTATTGTTCTGGACAAAGTTATTCGGTTTTATACCTAACTAGACTTTCTCATTTCTGCATTCATTTTCCTACTGTTACATCTTTCAAGTTTCAAGTGCTCTTCTTGTCAGCTCTTTTATTTATCGATCTCCTCCTTAAAAAATTAAGTAAAACTTTGCCTTATGTTTCCTATTTGTAAGAGAAGTAGGGTTTTGTCAGTTTGAGAATTAAACATTTAACCAACTAAACAGAAACAAAGAAAAACAATAACCCAAACCTGATATCAAAATTTTTGAAGAACAGTGTAGATTTTTACTGAATATTCTCAGAGACTGAATAGAGGGGATTATCAGGCCAAACTGACAAAATGTTCCCGATAAATTTCTTTGTGTCTCCCAAATCCCTGCCTAAATTCCCTCTCTCCCAACTCACTGCCTCCCAGGCCCCACCAGTCCCCAGGCTTTTCTGACCCTTCTCCCCTCCTGTGGCAGACACATCCCATGGTGACCCCCAAAGAGTTACACACGTGTATAATCCCCTCTCCGGGCGAATGGAGGGGAGGAACCTGTGACTTGCTTCTAACCAATGGGATATGGCAAAGTTTATGGGATGTTACTCCTTTAAATTATGTTCTGTTATATGGCAAAGGTGATGGAAGGTCATTCCCAAGATTATGGCTCATTATCTAAGACTCTGTTGTAGCAGATTAGAGGGACAGACTTTCCTACCCGTCTCTAAGAAGCAAGCTGCTCTCACGTGAACTGTCTATAGAGGGGGCCACATGGCAGGAAACTGCGGAGTCCTCTGGGAGCCAAGGGCCTCAATCTTATAACCATAAGGAAGTGAATTCTGCCAACATCCAAGTGAGCTTAGAAGAGGACCCCCAAGTTCCAGGAAGGAACATAACCTGGCTGGCCCCTTGATGTAGCCTGTGAGACCCTAAGTCAGCTCAGCCGGCCTGGACTCTAGATCCCCTGAAAGAGTGAGACATAAATGGCTGTGGTTTCAAACTGCTTGGTTTGGGTTAATCTGTTACCCAGCAAAACCCTCTAGCCCTCTTGGCTTCTTTCATTTATATTCCATAAACCACCATTTCCCATCAAAACTTAAGGATCTTTTTTTTTTTTAATTATTATGTTCAGTTAGCCAGCATATAGCACATCATTAGTTTTTGATGCAGTGTTCAATGATTCATTAGTTGTGTATGACACTCAGTGCTCATCCCCACATGCGATCCACACTTCTGAGAAACCAGGGAGTGTGTGTGTCTGTGTGTGTGTCTGTGGGTGTCTGTGGGTGTGCATCCCTCATAAATGGGCCATCTCACTATATTAATTCACTCATTCCCTTGGTAAAAATCTATTGACTAACAACCACTCAGATGCCAGGAGGCTGCTCTCCAATGTGTGTTTGCATTTCTGGTTCCACAAGCAAATGGCAGAAGAGTCATCGTGGTTTTTTCCCAAATCTGATCATATCAGTTGTAAATGTTATTGTAGATGATATAGTTAAATCTTACATAAACTGGAAGTGTAAAAAGAACATTTTTTTTCTATGAGAACCATGAAAAGGTTTAGAAAGAAACTGCTGTTATATTAAGTAGAATAGGGGCAAATAATAGAAATCTAGAAGGACATTGGCTCTGAGACTACTTCACAAGTATCTTTAAATTGGAGGATTTTTTTTTTTTGGCACAGAGCACATTGGTTGTTTATGTAAGAAAGAAGCTGTATAACTCACTCCGCAGACTTCTGCTCAAAAAAAAAAAAAAAAAGGCCTTGTCCTTATAATATGTTTGATGAATGAAAATGAGTATTTGGAATGTGTGTGCAAACTTTGACAACACACTTCCACTTTAATTGGCTTTTTCAATTAATTGATTGTGTTAGATAAAAAGATTCCTTCTGAATCTTCATTTTAACATTTTTTCCTCTGTCACAATAAGCTTGCATAAATTTCTATTCTGTTTTTAAGAAAAGGAATGTTTTGAGCTCACCAGCTGGAAGTCTTTTAGGAAAAGCTCTAAGGCCTTGTCATAAAGCTAACTCTTGAATTCTGTTTGTCTTAGAGCAGTAGCAAGAATAATTGAAAGTTTAAATGACAGGTCGGACAACAAAACAGGAAGGTCATCTCCAGGTAGCTCTTGACATGTTTTCAAATGAATAACATAACAGGGTTGGGAGATACTGTCATTGCCAACCTTGACAAAGAATTACTGGCTAGTGTGAATTAATTTATAAAAGGTAAATAACAAAGGACTCCCAGAAAGGATTTCCTTCATTCCTTCCCTCTCTTTTCCCCTCCTCCTTCCTTCCTTCCTTCCTTCCTTCCTTCCTTCCTTCCTTCCTTCCTTCCTGCCTCCTTCCTTCCCTCCTCCTGTAATCTATATAACCCACATCTGTCTTAAGGCATAATGAAATCCTGATGGCCAATACAAACACACAAAATGATCCTATCCCTGGAACTAAAAATCCAGATAACTGGCTTACCAGTGGGGACAGACCGTTTGGAACTGGGACATTCACTTCACTTTTGCTGTGGATTTATATAAAGAAGGGCTCGTGACTGTGGCTAAGAGCATTAAGAATCTGAATTTGGACACTGCTTGAAGGGGTGCCTGTAATATTTCTATTCTATTCCTAGGCAGGCCTTTGGAGAAAACAGATACGTCTCCCAGCCAAGAGAATATTCAAAATCCTGCTCCAGAATCTGCAGGTAAGGGGAGGTTAGAAAGTGGGGAAAGAGCCTTGTAGGCGATTTGTTTCTTTAGGAAGACTCGAGAAAATGGCCCCCAGACAAGAGGGCCCCTTCCTTGGGCTCCAAGCTCTTGACACTTGTCCCTTCTTGCTTTGGCTCACCTCCAACCATGCACCTCCTCTGCAAGGCCCGGGGGACATGCCCACCCAGAACCTGCATCTCCCCTTCTAGGCCACACTCCTGGCAAACATGTCTTCAGAATCAAACATATCTTCAGAATCCCTTGTGTAAGCCTTTCCCCCGGGTCATCTTCTCCAGGGTTGACTGTGATGTCTGTGCCTCCCTGATCCTGAGGGGTGGCTGTGTATAGGATGGTGTGGAAAGAGCTCAGTGGTGTGAGCTGGGGTGTCTACACGTGTGAGTACAAGGCCCTCCGAGTATGGTACCGAGACAGCTGTGGAGAGACTATGGCAGCCACAGGCCAGGGACTGCTCACCACATTTTGATGTAGAACTCTGAGGAATCCATGGTTTGTACATTCAAATTTGGACATTCGAGTCCTCAGGAAGGTATATTTATCATGGCATTAGAATAGGGCACACAGACTTTATTTAGCAGCTTGTTAGCTTAATATATAAGTTTTACATATACTTTTATGTAACTAGTATATAGGTCTTCACTGCACTTTGTCCCAGCCCCTGCTTAGAGCTGCATTGCTGGTAAAAAGACAAAACAGTATAACCCTGATGGCAAACTGGCAGTATCCGTCACAATTATAAATGTGTCTTCTTCGGCTCAGGAAGTCCATTTCTGGGAATTTATTCTACAGCGTAGAACTCTGACCCACCATCTATAGCAGTGAGCTGTGAAAACCCACTTAGTACCTACAGAAACGAGGCCAGGAAGCCAGCTTGCTGTCTACAAGTCAGACATGGAGAAAATCAGGTCACCATCTCTCGTACCTGGTCCAGGAAAACAAGCAATAATCTCGGTAACAACTGGCCCCAGATGATCAGGCCTTGATTAATCACAGACAGCTTCTCTAATTCTCGTCCCCGATTCCAATTTAGGGCCAACCTGAGAAAACGCAATACGCACCGCCAGCCACTCACACGGGGTGCTACCCCTCTAGCCGGCCTGCCTGCAGCCTCCAACCAGGGCACACCTAAGCCCTCCCTTTCCCCACCGTAGAGCTGTCCCGTTCCTCTGCCAACACACGTGATGGCAGCTGGCCCCCTTGCCGTAGCAATCCCCAAGTAAGGCCCCTTTGCCTCTTCTCATCTGAGTGGTCTGGTATTATTTCCACGGTCGCCACAGCTCTTCTGATCTCCCTAATTCTCACATCGAACCCAAAGGCAACATTTTCTTGCTGAAAATGATGACTCAAAACATTTGTGTCTTTATTATTTGGTTAATATATTAAATGCGATTTAAAGTTTTCTGAGGCAGAGTGAAAGGATTATAAGTATTGAATGTTGGGACTAGGGAGTACATATATGGGGGTTTTAATTCTTATCTATCAGTTCTTTTTTAAAAGATTTTCTTTATTTATTTGACAGAGAGAGAGAGAAAGAGAGAACACAAGCAGGGGGGAGGGGCAGGCAGAGGGAGAAGCAGACTCACTGCTGAGCAGGGAGCCCCCCATGGGGCTCGATCCCAGGACCCTGGGATCATGACCTGAGCTGAAGGCAGACGCTTAACCTGAGCCACCCAGGTGCCCCATAAACTAGTTCTTTATGAAACTTTTTTCATGTGAGTTTTCTTCTTGCATAAACTTGACGGATGTCTCAGTCCACTAGTGTGATTATAGATATTCTGGAAGGAGGGCAGCACTTGAAGAAGCAACACTGGCTGGGGGGTCAATAACCTCTCCGGTTTAAGGTCTGAGTTTGGAACAGCTGAAGGTTGTTCAAGTACACTTGCAGTTTTCAGTTTTACCAGAGGATGGTGCCAATACCTCTCTGGTAGGTTTGGCCAAGCCACTTTGGGATCCTCTCGGGCAGCACTGGAGAGACATGGAAAAGACTGGTTACTTATGCTCTTCACCAAATTGAGGTTTTTATTATTAATTCAACTTTACATGTAGTTAAAAGTGAGTATACACGTATAATGTCTTTCAGAACCACTTATGCCAAAGAAATCAGACAGCCTGAAATGAATGGAGGGCTACTTATTTCCTATAAATGTACTCACACTTTATATTTAATTTATACAACTTCCCCAAACCAGTTTTTACAAGTGAGATCTTTTGAAATTTCCATTTGCTTGCCATCTGCTGCATTGTAGGCCAGCCATTTAATATTAAAATTTGTTCAGAAGCTGTCCTCTTTAACGCACGTCCTGGCTCAGCAGGGGGCTTCCTCTAGTTGGGCTGTTTACACCTAAGCTGGGAGGCAAAATGGAAGTCCCTTGTCTGTCTTCTCTGTCTTCATGATGGAACTGAGCCAAGAGCATGGTCATCCCTTTGTCTACTCTTCTTTGACTCCACTCATTTGTTCAATGGTGTCTTCTGAACAAGACTGGTTGTAACATGTCTGCCCTGTGTCTAGGAGACTCAAGGGCTGTTTGAAGGTGGCAGGCTGCTTTGCTCAGAAACTGTGATTCTCTCTTGGAAGATGACCCCAAACTCACTGATATTTCTACTCAAAAGCAACCATAATCAACTCACAAAGACTGTTCTGAGATAAACAGAATCCATACCTACTGAGTCCATAATTGGTGCCAAGAGCCCAACTCGAGGAAGCACCCTGATGAGCTGGATGTGCGTTAGAGAGTGGGGCTTCTGAACAAGTTTTAGTAGGAGGTCTTAACATGCCATGAAGTGGGAATAGGAAATTTACAAAGTAACAAAATAAGGCTGTCATATGGGTTCACTATCCCTTATCTGAAATTCTTGGGGCCAGATGTGCTTGGGAATTCAGAATGTTTTGAATTTATAAAGCTTGTATGGTGTATATACCATGTATTATGCAATGCCTGAGAAGGATCTAAGGCAACTCCCTATAATCAAAACGTTAGTATTTTTTCAGAGAAACATGAATATTCACATTAAGCGGGATAAATAAAGACTAACTGGCCTCTTGTCAGGGTACAGGTCAGATTTGGCCTCCAAATGAATTAGGAAACAAAACTTTGGTTTATAGGCGTTTTTGGATTTGGGGAGTGCAGGCAAATTATCATGGAATTGTAATTAAGTGCTTTCCATGTGCTATTTCATTTAATGCTCACAAATGGCCTATGTTAAATATAAGGATATAAGAATAGAGGGAGTGGGCGTGTCAGAGTGGTTAAGTAAGTTTCCCAAGGTCACACAGCAGAGCCAACATTCAAACTTAGGCCTGATTCTAAAAGGCAAAATATTACATTGCTTCCTATGTTTAATCAAAATGCTAAATATTCCCAAATAATAAAAATGCTTTAACTTCCTTGCCAACTTTTGGCTTTTCACCCATATTCTGCACTATTCTCTATTTCCCTGGTGGCCCATGAGAAAGAATAAGATGGCATAGTGAACTATTCCACCGTAATGGATAGAGGTAAAGCCTCTATCTGGCGTCTGCACAGAGTAGGCTCGCCTGCTCAGGGAGAGAGCAGGGCTGCAGTGCTGAAGAGCAAACTGTCAATGCTCCAAACGTGAGATTTTCCAGTGGTTAGAGATTCCTGTTGTGCACTGGGTCCGTGCAGATGATCAGCCCTGACGTCATCGGCAATGTGATCCAACATCTAATTAATGTCTTTGGCCTCCTTTTGCAAATTTTGCACCAGCCTGGTCTCCCATAAAGGGATTCTGCTTCTTTGAATCGGTCTATCAGAAGTCACTTGGCTCAATAAAGTTGTCAGCAGGGAGCAACCCTTGGCTTTTTTTCTGTACATTTTCTCATGATGGGAATGAATTAAGATAATCATATTTTAAAACTGTGCTTTCAAAGTAATTCATGAGCCATGTTCCTTTTTTTGCATTGTAATTATCCTTCTTCTCTCTTCCTTTATGTCTTCCTCTCTTCCAAATTATAATCCTATTTATATTCTAAAGTTTAGAGGCTTACAGTCTTTTCTTCCCCCCCCCCCCCGCCCTGATGTTTCTTTCTTGTAATGAAACCAATAGCTTAGCAATTGCATGGGCAGAAATCTCTTTTTATATTCTTGTAAAAATATTACAAGTCACAATAAACTGTGGAGCATTTTAATGGATTCTTCCCGTGATCTTTTATAGACTTTCAATATCTGTTAGAAAAATGATTCATCTATACAGACGTACATATATCTATATGTCATGCTTAAGGTACTTAAAAAAAAACCCTTGACTTATTTTTACAAAGGAAGATAGCAGATACAGGCAGTCATGCATTTGCACACCTTGCTTCCCAACTGTCCATAAAATTTCCATACAATAAAGTGTGCAAATCAGAAGTGTTTCATTTTGCTAAGTGCATGTTATCTTTGTAATAGAAACCTTTATCAAGATAGAACTATCCTGGGCGCCTGGGTGGCTCAGTTGGTTAAGCGACTGCCTTCGGCTCAGGTCATGATCCTGGAGTCCCGGGATCCAGTCCCACATCGGACTCCCTGCTCAGCGGGGAGTCTGCTTCTCCCTCTGACCCTCTTCCCTCTTATGCTCTCTCTCTCTATCTCATTCTCTCTCTCAAATAAATAAATAAATAAAATCTTAAAAAAAAAAAAAAGATAGAACTCTCCTTGGGCACCTGGATGGCTCAGTTGGTTAAGCGACTGCCTTTGGCTCAAGCCATGATCCTGGAGTCCCGCGATCGAGTCCTGCATCGAGCTCCCTGTTCATCGGGGAGTCTACTTCTCCCTCTGACCCTCCCCCCCATGCTCTCTCTCTCATTCTCTCTCTCCCAAGTAAATAAATAAAATCTTAAAAAAAAAAGATAGAACTATCCTTCCCGAAAGTTCTTTGATGTTCTTCCTCAGTTCTCTCACTTTAAACGCTTTTCTGATTTTTTTTATCATAGATTAGTTTTGCTTGCTCTAGAATTTCATATGTATACACATACATACAAACGATAAGGTGTGTGCTCTTTGTGTAAGGCTTCTTTTATTCAGCACAATAATTGTAAGACTCATTCTTCCTGTTTGTGTCAGTAGTTTCTTCTAGTTCGATGAGTGGTATTTCATGTGTTTATTCCATTTTCCTATTGATGGACATCTGGACAGTTTCCGGATTTTAGCAATTATGAATAGAACTGCTAAGAACATTCTCATACAAGTCTTTTTGTGGACATATGCTGGTAAATAATTAGGAATAAACTTGCTGGGTCATAGGGTAGACTTATAATTAGTTTTATAAGAAACTTTTTTTTTAATTTTAATTCCAGTATAGTTAACATATAGTGTTATATTGGTTTCAGGTGTATGATATAGTGACTTAACAATTCTCTGCATTACTCAGTGCTCATCAGGATAACTGTACCTTTGATCCCCTTCGCCTATTTCACCCATCCCCCACCCGCCTCCCCTCTGGTAGCCATCTGTTTATTCTCTGTAGATAAGAGCCTGTTTTTCTGGGTTGTCTTTCTTTTTTCCTTTGTTCATTTATTTTGTTTCTTAGAGTCCACATATGAATGATATCATATGTTATTTGTCTTTCTCTGATGGACTTTAATTACTTAGCATTAGATTCTCTAGATTCATCCATGTTTGTTGCAAATGGCAAGATGTCATTCTTTTTTATTTATTTTATTTTTTAAAATTTTATTTATTTGAGAGAGAGAATGAAATAGAGAGAGAGAGCGTGAGAGGGGGGAGGGTCAGAGGGAGAAGCAGACTCCCTGCTCAGCAGGGAGCCCGATGTGGGACTGGATCCCGGGACTCCAGGATCATGACCTGAGCCGAAGGCAGTCGCTTAACTAACTGAGCCACCCAGGCGCCCCAAGATGGCATTCTTTTTTAGAGCTGAGTAATATTCCATTGTGTGTATATGGATGGATACTTGGGCTGCTTCCATAATTTTGTTATTGTAAACAATGCTGTAACAAACATAGGGGTGCATAAATCTTTTTGAATTAGTGTTTTATAAAATACTTTTTCAAAAGTGCTTCCATACGAGAGTTTCAGTTGCTCCACATCCTTGCTAATACTTGCTGCTGTCAAATCTTTTCATTTCCTAGCTATCCTGGTAGATGCAAGGTAGTATTTTATTGTGGTTTCAATTTGCATTTCCCTGATGACTAAGGATGTTGAACACTTTTTCACATACTTGGCTCTTCATATGCCTTCCTTTGTGAAGCATATTTTCCAAATCTTTTGCTCATCAAAAAAATAGGTTGTCTTTTTATTATTTTAGTTGAATCATAGGAGTTCTTTAAATATTCTGGAGTCATCCGTCAGATACACATTTTGTGAATATTTTCTCCCTATCTCTGGTGCCTTTGGATGAGCAGGAGTTTTAAACTTTGTGTAATTTAACAGAACAACGTTAATTCTGTCTAAAGTTTATCAGTTTTTTAAGTTTTATTTTTGGTAGTTGTTTCTGGGTCTTGGCTAGCAAACCCTTACCTATCCCGAAACTGGTAGGGTATTTTTTAAATATTTTCTTCTAGAAGCTTTTTAATTTTAGCTTTTACATTAAGGTCTATGATCCATCTCAAATTAATTCATATATATGGTATGCTATTGAGATGGAAGGCTGTTAAAAAATATCATGTTCCAGTACTATTTATTAAAGACTTTCATTCTCCCTTGCATTGCTTTGGCAACTTTGTGAAGAAATCCAATGACTATGCATGTTGAGGCTTGTTTCCAGTTACTATGTTCTATTCCATTAAGTTATTTGCCTGTCTTGATGTCAGTAACACATTGCCATGATTATTGTAGTTTTATAGTAAGTTTTAAGTCAGGGAGTGAAACACTTTCATTGTTTTTTTTTACTTTTCTTTCCAAAATTGTTTTGGCTAACCTAAGTTCTTTGTATCTCTCTATAAATTTTAGAATCAGCTTCAAATTTTTCCAAAAATATCTCTGGGGTTATGTTTAGGATTATTTTGAAACTATAGATCAATTTTAGTAGAATTGACAAGTTAATAATATTTTTTCTTCTTTTTTTTAGAGAATGTGAGTGCAAGCAAGGGTGGGGAGGGGCAGAGGGAGAGGGAGAGAGAATTTCTAGCAGACTCCCCACTGAGTGCGGAGCCCAACGTGGGGCTCGATCCCACAACCTCGAGATCATGATCTGAGCTGAAATCAAGAGACAGACGCTTAAATGACTAAGCTCCCCAGGCTTCCCAATAATATGGAGTTTTCCAATTTATGAATAAGGTATATATTTCCATTTATTTAGATGTCTTAAAATTTTTTTTCAGCAAAATACCGAGGTCTTACATGTCTTTTGCTAGGTCTGCACCACCAACTACTGGATGTCTTTTATGTGAGAAATAATTTTCTCTCTTTTTAAAGCACTGTTATTTCTTCACTCATAAGCAGCTGAACCTAATCTTAGAGATTTATGCCCTCCAGCAGACTGTGTGTCTGTATGTTCTCATCTGTGACAACAGTGGAGTGAGCTGGGTCTTGAAGAATGAATAAGAGTGTTCCAATCAGAGGAGGGTGTGCAGGCTGAGGAGACGGCCTGTGGAAGGACGTGGAGCTGCGAGGGGGCTAGGCCTGTGCTGGGAAGAATGTATTATTGTTCCCATTTTGAGGAAAAAGAGACTGAGACACCAGGGGCTTCAACAACATTCAAACCCAGATGAGTGTCCACAAAGCTTATTGCTTCATGAAGTCCCCACTCGTGTTTTGATGTATCCCTCAGCTCCCAAAGGCAGCAGGACAGAATTTTGTTCTTGCCGCGGGAGTTGTATGAGCCTGGAGTCTCCACTTATTACCCCTCAAAAGCTCTCTGCATCCCAGCAGCTTCACTCAACATCCATGCTCTGGCTGATATTTGCAGAACTGCAATGTGGAGGTCCCTGTAAAAATATTAACACCTGGGTTTTTTTTTTCTGAGTCTGTGCAAAGTGTGCATCTCTGAGGACAGCATCCTCAAGTGAGAATGAAAGTCTCTGGGGACTGAAGAAGCCCTAAGCCTTGCCTGCCACAGAAGCCCTGGGTGCTCCCCTCCCGCGGGTCCTTCTGCTGCAGCTTATTGTGAACCCATGAGTTACATTTGTAGCACTCTGAGGCTGAAAAGGGTTCCTGTAAGTGCTCCGAGTATTTAATTATAAACAAAGCAGCCAGCCAGGAGCCCAATGCCCAAAGAAATCCTTAGCCAGCCTTATTGTGTGTTCTTTATTTCCCCTCTGCATTTCTATCCATCCAAGAGCTTCAGAAGTGTAATCCTTCTTAACGACAGATTCGTGATGATGAAGCCATTATTTTTTGATACTGTAGTTTTAAGAAGTGACCCAGACACAGCCTTTAAAAGCAACCTCTCCCCACCTCCTTTACCCCAAGCAAAGGACCAGATTAAAAGAGACCTAGCTTGTATGAATATTTATGCTAGGACCTCTGCCAGATCAGACTAAAGGAGTTCATCCTGCTGGGCAAACACAGATTCTGTACTCAGACTTAATGAGAAACTGACATGTTAATGGTATATTGATGCATCCATTCATCAGGAAATCCATAAAGCACAGTGAATGTGCCCTGGGTCTCAGGGCCCGGGAGAGGTGCTGCTTTTGTCATTTTAAGTTCGACCGGGAAAACTGTTGTTGCAATGAGGATTCCAAAGACATTCTGCCTCACAGAGACGCTGAGGAGTGGGCATTCGAGTCTAGATATACCTGGGAAATTGCTCTCTTACACGCCAGTGAGTACATTGGACAGACGCTAATTCCACTAGGCAGGATCTCCCAAGGTGGTTCCACAGAGCACAGTACCTACAGGCTGTTAATAGCTATCGTACAGGGAAAAGGCTTTAGGTCAAAATTGTGGGGTAAATGATGAGCTGAACAGACTTCTTCACCGTAGAACTTCCACCCTGTGACTTTTCAGGAAGCAGAGAAATTATGCTGTGCTTCCAGATTTTTTGGACTGTGGGGTTCTTCCTTTGCAAAGCAC